GACAGAAGGCATGTCAGCATTTTGCTTATGTATAATATCTGATATTTTGTCAATGTCAGACTGTAAACAAAACAAGAGATAAAAAGGTACTGTTTGACTTTCTTGTCTGTTTTGTTTGATATCATTGCAGATCCCACTATGCTTCTTAAATACCTGACAAGCAACAGTAAGAAATCAAGCTGTGCTCCTCTACAAAATCAGCTTCTCTTCTGAATGAGGTTTAATCCTGGTAACTATAGTTTTAGGGTTTTGCAGCTACATTTACTTCAGGAGATGTCCCTAGTGTATATGTTGCAGCAGAAGAGAAATGCAACACAGAGTGCTGCATTACAAAACAGTTCATGTCAACTTCTGAGACTAGACTGCCCTCCAGGCCACACATCAGTCTCTACAGCACTGTGAGTAATGTCAATATGCAGCTTGGACTTTTATCTCCCTGTTTGAAATCATTCTTCAGTTAGTGAATAATTTTCAGTCTAAAGTTTTTTGCAGTTGTTGGGTTTGGAGCATGTTCTTTATCTGAGCTGATATTTGGGATTCAATTCAGTAAGTTACTCCATTGTGAAAATATCAATATTTTTTATCAATACTATGAAAAAAAATTATAATCAAATATGATATTAGTCAGGAGTAGAAAAATACACAGTCATTTCAGCTCCAAAGATTGCTTAGTTTTTACTATCTTATCTAAATATAGATTGAATATGTTATTTTAGGCTTATCCACTGCAGGGTTTGCTGAATTTAGACAGATGTGCTTAGAAGAGTAATTTTAAGAATTCAGCATTGAAATTTTTTGACATTTATCAAGATCAACGCTGTGGGCATGAGTTTTTTTTTTCTTGCGATACTTTTTAATATTTCCATTTGAAAAAATGCATCTCTTTGCATTACTTCTACTCTTGAATGCTTGGAATTCTTTGTTAGGTATTGTGGATAACAAGGTATAATTTACTTCTCAGGTTCCATGAACTGTCAAAAAGGAGATAACTAATACAGTGAGACTCTTACAGAGAATCAACAGGCCTCTTTACTAGGAGAATTGTCTTGCTCAATGCTCATTGGTCTTAAATTGTTCCTCCTTTAACGATGAGTAAGAAAAGGATTCAAGTTTACCTTAAATCTGTTAGGCAACACTTTATCCAACTATCAGCAGAAGTAACGCTGCCTAGGCACCTCACTTTAGCTTCTCACAATGTCTTTGAATAAGCAAGCTATTCTCACTCTACTCACAGGTACACAGAACTTCATACTGTTTTGCCTTCTATATCTTTAAAATATATAGGAAGGCTGGGAATGCATCTCAGCCAATTTTCCTGTCCTTGATTATGCAAGTTTTCCTTTCAGACTTACACTGAAGTGAGTGGTTCCGTTGCTGTGACTAGGTTCCTGCAAATGCTGATTGGCTGAAAAAAATTGGTACCCAGCCTTAGAAGGAATGGGAGGATCAGCTATCAATCATACCCCAACATTCTCGGGTTAGAAAGAACAAGGAATTCGTTTTAAATGTTCTGAAAACTTGGCCAGATGCAAAAGTATTGAATCATGAAACATTTTTAAAATCATGTAAATATAAGAATAAATAGTGTGTTTCCCACTAAAAGTCTTAACTGTGCAGGTTGTCTTCACTTACCACAAAGAGCAACTTCAAAGTGTGCAAGTAGAATACCAAAAGGATTGTTGCAAATGATTGACAACAGGATATCAGGGAAAACATTACTAAGTAGATTAAAACCTTTCTTTTTTCTTTTTGCTATAGATATGTAATATACGTAATGCAGGTGTATTAACACATCCAGAAGCATGTGCACAGGCCCATGCATGTCTAAGAGCCATGGCAAGAATTTCTAAGATTATATTCAGGATTTTGAATGCTCTCATAGATGTTTCATCCAAGGGTAGAGTGAATCTGCATAAACATATGAATGTGTAACTATATGGCTCAACTGATCATGTGTTCGGGGTAATCAGAGTAATAAATGTATTTTGATTTTCTGATACTTTCTTTTTCTTGACCCATTGAATCTGGATTGTATGATAAAATGAATGAGGAGAAGGACTTGCACACATCCATATTTTAAAAACTACAAGGAATTATAATCTATATTTATGTTTACAAATAAAGAAGGAAATGACACAGGAATAGTGAGCTGAGCTTGTACGTAAGTATTCTGATCCATGGACTGTGAGTAGAGAAGGGGGGGACATCCTGATTGGAAAAAAAAGCAAATTTTCAGAAAGACAGCACTAATGTCAGCTTTCCTTTTAAGGTTCTTTTAACTCCTTTTTTTTTTTACTATGAAAAAATGTTTTAACGTTTGAGTAAGCATAGAAGAGACATTTTTGTTACTTAAACTTATCATAGAACTATAGATTCACAGAATGGCTTAGGTTGGAGGAGACCTTAAAGATCATCCTGTTCCAACTCCCCTTCTGTGAGTAGAGTTACCACCCCACCCACCAGATCATGCTGCCCAGGGCCCCATCCAACCTGGCTTTGAACACCTCCAGGAATACGGCATCCAGTGCTTTACTAAACTCCACCAAACTCACCAGCTTCCAAGATATCTTTTCAAAGGAATAGCTCACCTTGCTTTGAACACAGATTTACATAGACAGGTTTTCCCATCTCGCTGGCTTCAAGCTGCATCCATGTATGAAGGTATTTCTTACTCTGCTTGGCCATTACCTTCTGACCTTGCTTGGTAAGAAAGAGTGAGCTGTTGGCTACCTTCAGGAGCCCATCTTCCTCGTGGCAAGTCCATGTGACTGCCTGGGAGCAATTGATGATGATGCTGCGAGAGGACAGTGCGGAGCGTGTGGAGATGCTCAGGCACTGTCCAGATTTCACATGGAGGAGCCTGTCATCAGCCATCCATTGCCACTGCTGGTTGGGGCTGCTCATATTGCACCTTTCCATAATGACTCCTCTCCTTTCTGAAAGACACTGCTGTCTCTGGACATGGATGATCAGAAATGCTTCTGGAAGTGGAAAATTCCAGAAAATACAATTGATTATGCATGGTCATTTAACAAAAAGTAAATTCTTGATTATGATTTAAAATACTTTAGCAAATAAATCTCCCCTCCAACCTTCTACATGTTAAACTTTCCACGAACTTTCCATGTGTTGAGCCTATATGAAAGAACCCAAAATGCAAGCACTATTTCACAGTAATGCCAAGACACAAAAGCAAACGGTTGTGGCAAATGTCACCTTGACCTTCATTAGATACAAAAATGAAGAAAAATCTAAACTGGATATAAAAGAAATACAAGAATTTATAACTTAAGATACCCATTCTGAACACCCTACTTTCCCCTCTCGAAAACATACACTCATCTACAAGAGCTCTGTCTTTTTTTCAGTTTTATGGTATAATTTTCTGCCTGCAAATTGGTTTAGCATAACTCTTAGTGTTAGTGAAGAAAACACTAAGAAAAATGCCTCTCAGTACCCATGCCTTTATAGGAATGGAGGCTCCTTATGGATAGGAAGTGTGTCTCTTACAGGATTTATTCCAGTATCTGTAGCTGCTAGTTCTGTGACCACCTTAATTTGTATCAGCTCAACTCTTTGTTCTGCCATACATAAATACCGAAAGCAAACATTTAAATGAACACAACTATAACACATTTATCAAAAAACTCCAAAGTTACCAGGGCAAAAAAACTACACGTCATTGGAGCACAGATCTGGATATTTCAAATGCAGCCTCTCTGCCCCATCTTATTTATGTTTTTTTCTATTCTCAGTTACTTAAACATTTTATTAGTTACATTTTAATATTTACAACATTTTATTAATCACAGCTAAAACCAATGCGTATTTCGCTATGTTGAGGTTTTTCATTCCTCTGTTTTTACAGATCTGGGTAGTTTCCAACTAAGCATCACAGAAAACTCCTGTTTCTGGAAGTTATACAAAGCAGAAATAAAAATAGGAGTTTCCCCTTCGAAGAGATTGCTCCAAAGCTCATCTCCTGTATTGTCAAGCAGGAGATCTTAAAAACAAAAAGAGGTACATCCAGCATTTGAAAGAGAAACCTAAACAGAACTGGCTGCGTTGGCCCTGCCCCCCATTCCCCTTGTATGAGCTCAAGCAAAGAAGTGACACTGTTCTGAAAGTCCCCGGCTGCCTTGGAGGTCTCTGCTCAGTGGTGGAAAGACCGAACGGTGGAGGAGAGATGGGGAGAGACACTTACCTGAAAACATCAAGGCAAGACAGGTAAAAACCAGGACGTGAATTAAAGACTCCATTTTCCCTCTAGCAACTGCCCATGCTTCTCTTAAAAAAAACCACCTCAGATAAGCGAAGCGAAGGCTAGGAAGGAAACGTGCCTTCACAGGGGGAAAAAGTCAGTGACGAGCACTTCCTTCTATTCAATTGTTTTGGGGAATTTTACACCACTTTGTCGTTTCATATGATTCTTCACAGTTTACTAGCTGCTTTATTTTGGAAAAATGCAAACACACAAGGTGCTAAAAGAGATGGTTGAACCTCTTTAGGCTAAAAGTCCAAAGAAAAGGAATAATACTTTTGTGTAATTAGTTGCCTGTGAAATATTATGAGTCCTCAGGTGATCTGGGTAGTGCTGGATAAGTATTATCCAAGGAGCATGTACACATTTTTGTAACTATTTGTTATCAAGCAAAACCCTGATATTGATATTTCTAGCTCTACAAGTCCTAAAAAGCCAAGCAGAGATGGAGAGGAGAAGGAGGAGTGGAGGAGGCAGGTTTCTCAGGTATGTACTGGGTCTATATAGTTTCCTGTGAGGATCAGGTGCTGCTGATTGTGCCTTCACCAGGTGTTCCACTTTGCAGAATGTCAGTAGGATTTACTCTCCAATGGTCTGAAGCCATGATGTATATAACCAAGCTGTACCACGCTCTGCCTGTTCTGGGGGTACAAGAGTATGCGCCAAATTACTCTAAGCAAAAAAAAAATCCAGACTTCAGTAAATATTTTATATCAAGTTTAATTTATTAGCAGTATGAAGCAAAGTCAACATCACTGCATTAAAAACTCGTGATACCCTGTGAACAGACCTCCCAGTGTTGTAAGTCATAATGCCAACTTTGTTTTTCTCTGAAAAACAAATTCTTACTGAGCAGTAAGGAAACAGTCATAGCAGCATTTTCGTTCTTGTATAACCTGTCATGGAACAGTCCATATCACTAAAGGCATCTATCTCTTACTGAAAGAGACAGAGCAGATAAACAACGTAAGCAAAAAATTCCGTATTAATAAAAGACAGACAAATATTTAAAATCCTTACTATTTAATATATGCTACAAAGTTTCTTTTAAAACTTTAAAGTAAAATGACTTACACAATTTACAAATACACTGGATTCAGGTCTGTAGCAGAAGCATGTTCTAGGACAGTCAACAGTACAGGGTAAACACATACACACTGAATAACAGACATTGTGCTCTGCAGCTGCTCTGTAAGACCTACAGCAAATACACATTTAATAGTTAATAGTATGAAGAACATATATTTCCATATAAAATATTAACTGCTTTTGAATATTTTCAAAAACAAGACTTAAAATCTCATCTTCTTTTTCTTTTTTTAAATCCATTATTGAACACTTGCAATTTTAGCAGCAAGAATATTATGTGGCCAAGAAACAAGCTCACCACATAATCAGTAATAGCACTTTACAGTACAGTTGACAGTCCATTCACAAGACATTTTGCAAACGTTAAAGCATTTATACACTTGATAAACATTTCTTCAGTAGAAGTTTCTATGTCCAGTCGACTCCGGCAGTAGCACATACATACATTCCATACGGCAGATACCAGTATTACAGAATTAACCCACCTTTAGATATATATGTGAAATCCATGTGTAGTTTCAGTACAGTACCTTCTTTATAAATCATTTTTGGGAAGCTCACAATACATTCATATACAGTAAAGGTCCAGCAATCTTTATACTCTTGCCAAACTGTCCACAGTCCTTTCAGAAGTTGGCTTCAAAGCCGCTCTTCCCACTGCAGTAGACTCCTTGAAGGAGCTGCTGGTAGGTAATGAAACAAATTACCTCAAGAGACAGACGTTCTGTTTTACCTCCTTGTCTTCACTGGACAGCTTCTGCAGAAAGTCGGCTTTCATACAGACTTAGTGCGTGGTGCACAAATTCATACTGTTCACTGGTCTGAACCATTCCACCTCTGAAAAGAAAAGGCAAAAGAATGAAACCTTATTTGTTACAAATGCAATGACTTCCACCCCCTGCCAGCTCCATGGCTAGGTAAGGACTTTTCTCAATGTTTAACCTAGAGTTTGCTTGAGCAAGAGGGAGATTTGCCTACCCAGAAGTACGTCCTTTATAACTTATGTCATCCAGCACACATATAGCATGAACTACTGGTGCTGATAATATCAGAGTAAGAACTAGAGAAGGAATCTGATGTTTTCATTGTTAAAACCTGTATTTCAAATTCAAGACGTTCATAGAGAATATTGCTCAGCCACTTTGGCATGGAGGGCCATATATATGGAATCTGCACTGCCACTGATGGAGCAAGGGGGTATTCAGAATCTGGCCTTTCATTTTTGTCCTTTAGTATAAATGTAACCTTCATTGACCCTCAGATTGCCTGTACAGAGAACAGCTCTTCCTGTCTTCTTTCTAACGCCTACAACGCATCCTGTCTGAACAGCAGCCACCTAGGAAATTTTACAGCAGTGACTCATTTCAACACCAGCAGTACAAAAGAGTTTAACCTGACCACAAAAAGGACTAGTTACAGTCAGATTGTAGTAGGTGCCTCCACTTAATACATTCAACTGCTAACAATTCCTTTTTTAGGTGGAACCATGAGGCTCTAGTCTTGCATGTCCAGTGCCAACAGCAGTAGGAAGGGGATGATGTCCTATAGGAAGTAGATGCAATACTTACTAAGAGCTATACTCAGTTCTGAAATTAAACTGAGCTTCATTCTGGAAGTACTAGGATCTTTCAGACCTCACTTTCATCAAGCAAAGGCTGCCAGGGTATTCAAAGCAATGTGACCATCTTTTTTTTTTACCACAGAGTGGCTGCCTACCTCTGTGGGATGAATTAGTAAATGGCCTTAGAAGGAAGGATGACATTAAGACGTGTATTGTATTTGGCATAAGCTAAACCTTCACAAAAGCAATGAAATGCAGAGAGGGATTTAGCTCCAGAGTGATGTAAAAGCCAGGCACCTTACAGCAGAAGCTCAGACAATCTCCCACGTGATCACTTCAGAGGCAGTGGCAACAAAGGAGCTTACTGATATGGAACTGGGTGAAAAATGGTAACAACGCCTTGGTAAATATTGTCCATTAGTATCAGATAAGTTCATCTGCTACCATAAGGTCCTTTTATTTTCCTCAGTGCTACTGGATAGTGAAATGGTTGTAGCAGCAAAAACGATTAAGTTAATACCTACTTCTGTAGGAAAGTGACCAGCTGTCTCTACTCCTCCAGTGTGCTCAGACAACCGTAAAACCCATTTTAGTGAGCTGCACGTCTATTGTGATATGTTGCTTTTAGGAATTAAATCACAAGTCTCCAAATGGTTCCATCCAGTGCAAAAAGCAGCAGCTTCTTTACTTTGCCAACAAAGACAGCCACAAATCCATAACTCTTGGCTGCCTGCTGCCTGCAGCCGCTCTCTCCTCTGTGCTCATCTTCAGCCTGGAGATCCAGCAAGAGTCTAAAGGTGACAGGAGGGCTTTGCTCTGGTCCTCTGCACTGCCTGGCCTCCTTCCTTCCTCCTCAGCCCACATGTCCCCTTCCCAGCCTGCTCTGTCCCTCTGCCAGCACTTTCAGGAGCGTGTTTCCCAACTCCAATCCACTGTGAGAAGGGGTGAAGGAAGGGAAAATGTTCAGGGACCAGCACGTGGCAGGAAGAGAAGGTTAAAACTGTCTTGGCTGCACTAAGCCATTTGTGGAGATGACCCCTGCATTTACCTCTGTTGAAATGAAGTAACACACAAAATCCCCTGGGCATACATAAGCCTATGTGGGGCTGAGCATTTGCTCCATGCTTGTAAGCAAAACTGAGCTGCTGTGGTGCTTCCAAATCCTGTATGGGCATGGCATGCACATCCTTGCTGGCCAAGTCTTGAAGGTTCAGACATCTTGGCTTTGCCTGTCACCCGTGGATCTCTTCCCTTTTTTCCTGTGAAGGGCTCATACTTAACATCAAGAAATGATCACCCTAAAACATCATTTGGTGCAAAATGCTGCATGAAGCAGTGTTTTTTTTTTTTTAGGCGGAAATCTGCTCTAGGAGAGAGTTTTCCTCTGCCATATTCCCTGTGCCCAGGACTCACAGCCGCAGCACCTCTGGGCCTGCAGCCCCTGTCCTCAGCAAACCCACACTGCCAGCTCTTCCACAAGCTGCCTCTGCTTACTCTGGGCTGGTGCTTGGAAGAAACAAACCCTGGTGTGCTGAGGACTGGGGCACCGCCATCATGTGTGCCTGGGCAACCATGACAGAGGGCAGGCTCTTGTTCACTACCCTCTGGCTTGCTGTGAGTGCAGCTGGATGCAGTCTGCTCCAGAATGAATGTGATGCAGAGTTTGGAATTTCTTTTTTTTTTTTTTTTTTAAAACCTGAGGTAATTAGTCAAAACACTTAAACAATGAATTGACGCACACTGGAAACTCTTTTCATCCTGTCTGAGGAGCCAAAAGCAAAATTATTGGACGTTATTCCAAGAATGTGCCTTTAAGGTTAAAGAATGTGCAAAGTTTCTCGATATCACAGCACGCCTTGAAGATGCTTCGCATCAAACATTTCCTGTTTCTGCTGCAAAACATAAAAAAAATGAACTGGGAAAAAAAAAAAAAACAAAAAACTGAGCAGAGCGGAGGGTCTATCTTTCTATGAAGCCACTCAGATCATAGCTGTATCTTTATCCTGGGTCAAGTTTTTGAGTGGATGGAGCACTTCCTTATGTTAGCTCAGCACAGGCAGTTGCTGAGAGATCCTTTCACCCCTCAACAACCTCCGTAGTTATACTGAGCAGCTAAGAACACAACACCTGGACATTCTGGGAACAGCTCTCTGTCACCTCATTCTCTATTGGTACTCTATTTCAAACTCTATTTCTAGAAGGACTATACAGGCAGATAATTCATGCATTTTTTTCAGCACAGTTCTTTGCTGCTATCTGTAATTTATTGGGGTGCTCGTTTGGTTCTCACAGAGTGTAGAAGGCATTGGGAATGTTTTGGTAAATAACTACTGGCATCATCTGCTCTACACTGAGAGTCCATCCAGCACAGCTCTATATTCTACTCTCCTATTGCTTGATTATCTTGGTAGAAATCAGGCCATGGGCCCACATGTCAGAAAGGTCACACAAGTGGATACCACCAAATGCATTCATTCCATCAGCAGGTCTGCATTTGACTGGTGTAGTCCCAGGCATGAATGAACTTGGTTGAGAACCAAGATGGTTGTGGAGATGAGGTATCAGAGAAGAAAAGATTCAGTGCGCACATCAGGCAAGTTTCTAGCTGTCACATAGGCAGTTTTCTGTTTAACACTCTATTCTCTTTTGTGAGGGCAATCTGTACAAAGAATAAATTGCAGCCTGCTAATGCCCAGCATCATGAGGATGAGGACTTCATCTCTGTTCCTGCTCTGCTGCTTTGCTCATGTGGGCCATGCCAGTAACTGAAGTGTAACACAGTGATGGCCACAGACAGCTCTGATAGCTGAGTCTAGTGGGAGGTTGAGCTCATTTTGTCAGCTTCAAGCCACTTGTAGTGACCTTATCTTACATCCCACCTGCAGTAATCTCATATCAGGACTCTCAGGAGAAGCTGGTCTCATGGAGTTTTGTGTGTTACAGTGATACTTGGCCACTTGATGAACCTGTGGTCTGGTTGGGCTGGCAGTGGCTATTGTGGACTGAGGGGCTGCTAAGCTCTGCCTTAGCAAATCTTGCCATTAGCTAACTGCCAGGTGAGTGAGAGCCATCCTGCATTATGACCAACTGGAAAAGGGAAAGGAAAAAGAGCTTTTGGTGTAATAGAGTTTTGCCCGGAAAAATGGCATCACAAATTAAAACACAAAAAACATATTTTTTGTCTCAGGCAGTGCCTGGGAATATGAAAAACTGAGAAGTCTTCACCAAGATCTCTGCAGTCAATTCGTATTTTCTGAAATTTGAAAAAATATGGAAATGCACAAATCACTTATAACAAGCTTTGTGTCATTGAGACTGCTATGCTGAATGTTGTTTATATTTGGGTCAGATTTCTATTCTCTTTCCAAGTTTATCACAGCTACTAATACATATAAGAAAGTTCATTGGCAAGATATACTTAACCAAACTGTGTTGTCAGTAATAATGCTGAAAATATGGAATATTATTTCTGTGGTTGAAATAATGACATAAAAACTGATGTAACAGAGAAGAATTTGCTTCCACTTCTTCACACTGTAGTGGAAGAGCAATGAGAAAAAGGCTATTTTATAGTAGAAATACTAAAACGAAAAAGAACACTATAAGCCTTTTAAAAATAAGATGAGTAGATAACCAGGATGGAGTTAGAAGTTTGGAGCTGATAATTTAAAACAGAGTAAGCATTTTTTTTTTCCCACTCATCTCTTCCATCCTCTCTGTTGCTGTGATTTTTAGGTCAGGAACTCCCCTTGGAGAATTTTACACTCCAAGTGGTTCATGTTGCCCTGTAAGGATCACATTACAACCTCCACTGTGATGAAGGCATGTGGGAGGATAAGGGCAGAGGAGGTGATGCATAAACACAGTCAGCTATATGGATTCTGGTCCTTCTGCAGATTGTGGCTCCAGTTCAGCATTTCAGAATGCTTCGGAACACAAAAATCGTTAACTATCCCTTTGACCTGAACTCTTTTTCAGCATTTGCACTCCTTATGGGTTGTTTCCATTTAAAGAAGAAAAGTATGTCAGAAGCAGGTACAGTCTTGCAAGGAGACTATATGACCTGGTACCTATGGCAGTCGTGAGACTTCTCTGTTCTTGGTGCAACCCTATTTGTTTACTTTATACGAAATCCTGTTTCCCTAAGCAGAATAAGAAAGAAAAGTACAACCAAACGAGCTGCTAGCACGGTACACAATACCCACATCCTCCTCTCCAACACAAATCTCTTTGGCCATGGTTTCACAAAACAAAGCATTCTGCAACAATGCTGGCTTGCAGTGCTCCTTCTCCCAAGCCCCACTCCCATGCTGCGAATTCAATCAGGGACTTGATCTGACTTCAGAAAATTCTGCAACATATGCCTTGCTGTTTTCTCAAACTGAGTAACTTTGCCAGCCTAATTCAAAAGGAGTTCCAGCACCAGATTTGGCATACTCTGCTGTATGAAGAAGCTACATACACTCAGTTAGCCTTGATGTCCCTATCAGTTGGTGCTCAAAGACAATCTCTAGCCTCCAGATTGCCCTGTGTCTCCTGTGACCTAGTGGGGTGCTGCAGACAGCAGAAAGCTTCAGGAGGGAAAGAGAGGAGAGCCAAGAGTCCAGCAACTGCAGTTGCTATCTCAGGAGAATTTTATTCAATAGAGTCTCAGCCAGTTTTACCCAGAAACAATATTCCTTAATCAGGATCTAAATATGAAAGTTTGAATATTCAGCTAATGCTGTCATACCAGTCAGCAAAAGTGATGGCAGCCACTCCAGTCATGTAAAGCAGCATTCATCTGTGAAGTGGTTTTCACAGTCATTACTGAAGAGTAAACTAGGCTCAGCCTGGCTCCTGCCAAGTTTAGGACACAAGCTGTGAGGAGCAGATGGATTATAGTTCCTTTCCCCATTCTCTGGTATTTAGATGACATATACCCTTCAATAAGCTCTTTGTCCTTCAGAGAATGCCCCACATTGGTGGTAACTGACTGTTCAGTGTTAGAGCAGCTATAGGCTGGCTTTCAGTCAACAACTGGAATGTATAGTAGTCAGTTCACTGGTCATTCAATGCTCATTTCATCACTGAAACTACTACTAGGATGCATGCATCATCATGAAATAGATCAAAAACATCTGAAAAAAATGGAAAAATTACTCTTCCCCCGTCCCCTTCCCCTTTTTCTGTCTGGATAGGAAGGGAAGATGATGTGGATCTGCTAAGAATGACTAGAGCACAAACATCTGTACTAGCTGTGCCCCTTGTCATGCCAGAAGATAGGTTCATTCTCCAAGTGTCAGTAGTATAACCTCCTTGTACAAGAGAAAACAGCAGCAGGAACTCAAGTCCTGAAAAAGTTTGAGTATAAAAGTAAAGAACTCTGTATGCCTAGAAGGAGTAGAAGAGCCTTCACAAAAGCTTGTTGTGTTGGACTAGTTTAGCTCATGGTGGGATGCAGAAGAAAATTTCCTTACAGTCAGCAGAAGGAGAAGCAGGTCAGCTGGATCCACAAATCGAGCAGCTATCTGCAATCAGTAAGTCTTCCTCTGTGTGTGTTAGACATTCACTAATGTGAACATTTAATTTTGGTGCCCATCAGACTTTCTGAAGACCTTTACTCTTGTTTATCTCTTATCCTTTTGTAACAGATTTCAGCTATAGCATTGGCCACAAGATGCTTTCTGCAAAGATGCAGAAGACATCTGCTGTTTGAGGTTAACCTACAAATGCAGGAGATTTGAACTCATCCAGTGTAATTTTAAATAAATGCATGTCATTTGACTGATGTATGGTTCTATGAACTCACCTGTCCACTCGTAGCTGGCAGACAATGCTCAATGCATCTACAACTCCTTCTTCCTTCAACTGCTGACAACCAATGGCAGTGGCGATAAAACACCCAGTTCTTCCTATACCAGCACTGAAAAGAGAGCAAATTTAATGAGTGGAGCAAATTGACTGAAGGAATTAATTGGAAAACACTACACAGACACGAAAACACTAAAAATATGATGTTAAATTGCTGTAACCAACAAATTCCTAGCAAGGAACCTCATTTTCATAGATAGACATGGAAGGGTGAGCTCTTCCAGCTGTCAAACTGTTGTGGGCAATTTGTGTTTACACACTTCCCATTTGCACACAAGTGTGTGGTTAGAAAAGCAATCTCCATTATCATCACAAAGTCCAAATATTCTCTAGCACAGTGCAGGCACTGAGAAGGGCAAAAAAAAACACCTTAAAGGCATAAGTCAAAGGGACTCTACATTTGAAGTCCTCAAGGACAGAGGAGTTCTGCTCTTCCCCTAACCACAAGGGTAAAAGGACAAAGAACTATGCTGATGAAGTTAACATTCTCTCCTATGATTCTGCGAGACAGAAAAGGATTCGATACCGTAAGTTCAGGTTTTACTGATGCCTGCTTGGAAACAGCCATTACAGCCATTATTTTTACTCCTTGAGCTCCCAGCACTTTTGAAAATCTCTTCCTTGACTAATGGCTTAAGGAACGTGGAATTCGGTACAGCTCTTCCCTGCCATGCTGCATGGCAGGAAAACATGAGGAAAAAAGTTAAAACATGGATTTGGGTCCAGGTGTCCATGCCTGGCTTTAGAGGAAATAGCCAGTTGGTGCCTTGCTTTCTTCATCTCTGCAACAGGTATGAATGCTGCCTGACCCATGAGTATTGCAAGTGTTATTTAAATTAAAGCCAGGAAGAATGCACTGAGTGTCTTAGATGAAAGCTTGATACATATGAGTGCAAAGTGTTAGCAGACCCACACCCTTTTGCTACGCCTGAAACAAATCACAACCTACTCACCACAGAATGAAAGATAGGAGTTCTTTAGGGACGCAAGAGAGAACACATCCCTCTGGAACTGAGTATTCCCAAGAGGACTCAGCAGTGAAATATGTGAGGATATCTAAGCCTACCATGAGGGGTTAATGAGAGTTAAATTTGGCAGTGTAAGAAAAGATCAAGTGAGCTGAGTTGACAGCCAGTCTTCTTGGGCATTGGTATCCATGAGATATACCAAAAAGGAGAATGACAGAGTTTATAAAGAGGGGTTTGTAGACATCTGTCTGATGCACAGAGCTAGTAAGTTTAAACAATTCAGATGTAAGTGAAATTGAATTGCAGGACAGATTGTTGGTGAATTTGGCTTCACTGACTAAATAGGGTTAAATTAGCTTCTAATTCTATTTCTTCTAATGGTTTTTAGAAAAAGTCTTTTCTATCTAAAATAATCAAAATATATTTGCTCTCAAAGCCCCTTGTTGCCATTAAACTCAAATTTATTTTGATGTACTAGATACATATGCAAAGGACAGATTTTAAAGAATATTTGCATTGCTTATCACATGCTTTAAATGAATGACATGAAAGAGGAAGCTTATATATCTTTCCAGTTAATACCACTATAGAGACTGTCAAGACTGACTTAAAACTTTTTCCCTTTGGAAACCCTTTCATTTTTGGAGAATCAGATCTGCTGAATTTCAAGGAACAAAACAAATGTTTACTCCTTTTTCATGTGTTTGCAGACCAGGAACTGCTGCTTTGCTAAGATGATTAAAGTCCTCCTCATATCCCAAGTCCTGAATGGACTCATCAGTGAAGTCTGTAAGACAGCACCCTATGCTGATAGGCTACAAGAAGACACAGAGAAAAATTGATTTTTTTTTTTTCCACTCATGTCATAATTCCAAGTTTTCAGAGATTATGAAAGCTCTTCTGCTTCAGATTAAGCATCATGCTTGAGCATGTCCTGTAATGATCCATTAGAAATAACTGAGAATTGTGCATTTGTATCTCAAGTCTGAGAAAGTGTGCACAGGCTCTGTAAGGTCTGGATGACCTCACTGGCAACTCAGAACAAAATGGAAGAAATGATGTGACAGGAGAATGTGGTATGAGAGGGTTTATCCATTTTATTGCCCATTGCGTAGTGAGTGTAGAGATAGTTGTGTTGTTACTGAACTATTAATTTTAATCAAGGACATAGATCTTCAATCAATTCCTGTTCATAATTATAGGCCTTGCTGTCACATGTCTCACACTGGAAAGACGCATTGTTCCTCTAAAGACATGACACCCTCAGTAGAAAAATGGGAACCTCATTGTCCATTCACGGATTTGTGCATTGTTTAGGAAAACTGCAATTCCCGATGAAAACAGCTGGATACAATTTAGGAAAGTTCCTATTCATCACATTCTGGATTTGCAAAATAATGTTTAAATCTGGCTTCCATTTCTCAACTCCAAAATATAGACTTGAAAAGAAGTGGCTCAAGATGAAAAGCTCCGGTTTTGATGGACTTGTAGGAATAAATGGTACTATCCCAACTGTAAGAGATGTATCATATCTATGAGACAAAGGAAGTAAGGAAACACTGAATTCATTTTATTTTCTGTTTTGCTTCACCAATATTTTCCCACCAATATTAAAGTTTAGCCCTATTTCCTACTACTTATATTAGAACATAGGGCAATGAATTGACACAAAACAATAAAATGAAACGTCCTCAGAATGATTGCAAGGATACTGATTGCAAGCTGAGCTCATTATAATTTGTGTTAGTAACACTCTTCTCTTGAGAACCATCTGCCTTTGTGAAAATGTTCACAAGTTTTAGTACTGGTGTGTTTTGGTCTGCAAATTTGTACCCGATGTCTGTATCTTACATTTCATCCAGCCAGTCACAGGGCGTTGCATCTGACTTAGCTACATAATAATGTAACAAGATAAAAAAGAAAGCAAATCATGAACGTGAAACAGAAGCAAAATCATCTTTCCAGCTGGTCTTTCAAACACAGAATTAATTAGCAGAAATGGGGAATGGTTCAGAAAGGATTTGCTAGCAACAAGGGAGTTCTATCCAAAACTCAGAAAGGAACCAAAAAAGTCAATTAGCATGAAGAGGATCTGGCGAATTTTACTCTTCCCTAGATATGCTCTTTGTTTAGGAGGACTGTTTGATGTCATTTTCCATGTCAGTTCTTGAAGAAAAAGGCTGCAAATTACCTGCAGTGCACGACGATGGGCCCTCGGGCAGGTGCTTCCAGCCTGTCCTCCTCTACATCCAGCATCAGCTGCAGCAGTGGCTGGGCGCTGTCGGGGGTTTTGTGGTCAGGCCAGGATGTGTACCAGTAGTGTTTCACACTCCGAGACTGACTCCCTTGCTGGAAATAGCATCAAGGTTTTTTATGCATGCTTGTGGTCAGCAGTTCTTTTTATTTTCCTCAATGTTATGGTAAGAATGTCAAGAGAGATTTAACAATTTGCTTTTATTAGACTGATGGGATACAACTGAGGGGAACAGACATGCTTCCAGGGACACAATTGTAAGCAAGGTTTGTGCACTTGAAATCTTGGCTGTTTTTCCAGGTATGTAAGCCCTACTGAGACACTCTGATTATGGACTTGCTGACTGTGCTGTCAGTTGGAGTTGTCAGGGTCTGTCTTGGGTCAGCAGTAAGGCTGATTTGGGCTTCTGGTTCTCTCTACATTATCAATTTCTGCTACCTGTTAAGGATACTGTCATAAAAGTCTGATACCAAAATTACAAGAGTATTCAAGCTGAAGGTGCCAAAGAATTGCCCTTCTATATTGTCACCCAGTTTAGTCTCTCCAACAGAGACTGTTGCTACTTCAACAAGCAAAGAAGGTAAATACAAGCTATAGTAACTTGTATGCTTCCAGCCTGGCAGTATGGCTTTGATCCACACCTGACAGTCAGAGCTGAAACAAATCTCCCCAAATTTCCCATGTTAAGCAAATCTCCCCAGGTCATCACTTATTTATTGTAAAGCTCTATCAGGAGGAGCTCGTGGTGGTGTCCCATAAGCATAATATGGGCAGTAACTTAGCATCATGGGAGCATCCACCTTATTTTGCGCAGTTAATGTTTAGTCAGAGCCATGAAACTATGAAGTTTTCCTTATGCACTCCTAATATTTTTAGTTTCTCAAATGGGCTATAGAGGCACCCTACATATAACACGGATAGCTTATTTTTTGGCTGATGCTGTGTTAGTTCTTTCATTAACTAAGATCCCTTTACTTCATCTTGGCAACACTAAAAGGGACTCAAAGCAAATTTAATTCAAGAGAGTGAAATCTGCACGTTTTTGAAGCCCTTTTTTTATTGTCAGAATGATACAAAGCAGCAATATGATGTGTTCCACAGCTTTGGTCTCAATTATACCTTGCAGCTGTGAGCTTCACAGCCCAGTTACTTCTCTTGTAAGAATTTATGCTCTTTGAAAAAACAGTTTAACTTTATTTAAAATTGAAAACATAACGCATTAGTAACAATGCTTCTCAGATGCAGATTTTTACCTTTATTGTGAGCTGACGGACAGTATAGTTCTCACATTCTTGCACACTGTTTACAAGGACTTCAACCTTCCCGTAGATTCCTCTTTTTTCTGGCCAATAGAGCACGCACTTCTGGAAAGCAAACATTGGTCTTGTCAAGAAACTAGATTCTGGAGCCACATTAATTTTTACACAGAATTTCTTTGCCTCAAAAGTACACATGAATTCAACCAAAGCGTGACTGATGGTAGAAGCATTCTTAAGTAAGACATTGTGGGCTTCTTATTTAATGACCTAGGCCCGATTTTCAGGATCTGAGTTTTCAAATATGAATCTCTATCACTGAATGCTTACAACAGCTGTTTTTATTTTTAAAATCTCAGCGAGGTTCAATTGAAGGAACTATTTTATATATTCAAAAATTCAGGATGATTTTTTTCCTGAAACCTGAAGATTTATTAAGTTTACTCTTTCTAAATGGGATTTTCTCCTGAGTAAGAGGTTTAGAATTTGTCCTGTCCTCACAAGGCTTTTTATCCTGTTTACTCTCCTGAGCCACGATAAAACAAAGCATGCAGATGTGCCCTAAGTGCTTACTGAATTCAGCCATACACGTTAAAGTGTTTTGCCTGAGATGTCTATCGCATTATTATTATACATGGAGCAGTCTTGTTACAGTTACACAAAATTAGACTGAGAATTCTTAATGACTCAGTAGTGTTGTATTATTTCAGCAATGAGTCTTCTGAAAAAATGATGAAATAGTATCTTCAGAGTGAACATTATTTTTCCCCTGCAATAGTTTATTTTCAGATCAACTGTAACTTCATATTCATTTCCACTGAAGTATGTCTATGCTTGAAAGCAAACATCCCTGTCATTTAAATACTTCCCTAAAAATAAATGCTCATTAACTCACAAGTATAAAGTGTCCGAGAGTCACATTTTTTTGAAACAATGCTCATTTGTTAGATTAAAACATAATGTCTAAAGAAAACATTCTCTTTAATGTTCGACACAGATTAAAAACAAACAAACAAACAAACAAAAACCAAATAAAAATCCAACAGTGAGAGAACAGACAGTCCCACAAGAACAGGAATCCCCAAAATGATTTGTTTGCATTTCCTCAAAAACACTTGCTGAAGGAACAGTAGCTTACACTGCACAGCAAAATTATGCAATCTCTAATACAATTAATTGCCATAAAACACAGCTTCCAGTAAATTCTGCTAAAAATGAGCCAGAAACACATTCGATTGTGTTCAAAGTAAATGCCAGGCTTTACCTCCAGGTGTGATCTTTCAGCTGCTGCTGACCCCACCAGCTGATAGAACTGAATGCAAACATCCCTGCTGTATAAATACTTCTCTAAAAATAGATGCCCATTACCTTTAGAGTGCAAGGTGTGTGACAGCCACATTTTCTGAGATAAAGCTGGCCAATCTGGCTGGTTTCGTTCAAATCAGAGAGTTTCATTCAAATGGAGAGTTACTCGAACATCTTAAATTCGGTGTCTCCCCAAGGACACCAAGAATGGCAATAAAATACTCAGAAAACTGTATGAAAAAAAAGCATTCACCAGTTCCACAATCACCCCATGTGACACACAGCTATTATCATCCGCGAGATCTGCAATTCATGCCCCTCCCTGGGAGTGTAGTTTTCAGTGCTAATATGGGAAAAAGTCTAAATACACAATTGTACCCGGACAATCAACAATAGTTTGGTCAACCCCTGAGACTTCTTGATAAATGAAAGTATGCAATGCGTGCTACAAAGCCTTCAGGCTGTCCTAAAGTTTTTCTTGACTCTTTCCCAGAACTGTAATTGGCAACTTGTGTTGGGTGGACAATGAAACGGGACCGTCCATTAAAATAACTTTCATTTAACAGCCCATCTGCATTTAATGATATACAATGGATTATTTTTAACACAGTCTCCACGAAGTTTTTTAAAGTTCTGTTTGTTACTGCTTTAACAAATAGCTTGAAAATAGAGCTGGGACCAGATACTTAAGTCAGCTATGTGGGGAAATTAACATTTTTGAAGGTTTATTTTAATAAAGGGATAAAGGCGAAGGTGGGAGGGATAAATATATCAGATAGACAGAAAATAATATAGAAAATCCCAGGAGCATAAGAAAAAAAAATTGCCTCAAGCTATTACTTGAACCTAAAAGGAAATTCCACTGGTCCCAGGTCAGTATATTTTAGACCTGGCCAAAAGCCAGATGCAATGGTTAAGAAGGCTGTTCCCTAACCTCCTGTCTGTAGTCAGTAAAAGCTCACTGCCCACTGTATGTACCTGAAAAATGGAATAATTCACTTGTTCTTATCATGATAGTCCCCACTTTTTTTTTTTTTTTTTTTTTCTGGTCCTGTTCCTTGCTGTTCTTACAGGCATCTTAACATTCCTTTAAGCACATTCATCCTTCACAGCATTTTCTAAATAGGTCACAGATTTTGTGAGCTTGGGGTTGAATTCTCTACGCAGTCAGCAAACACATTACAGCTATGAGCAAGATATTTTAAAACTTGCTTAAGCTAGAAAACAATATCCTCAACCACCTTGTACACCAGCAAAAAGCTGGGACTCTTCTTTCTTCTTGTAGAAAATCTTCCCTTCCAACCATCTTTAAAATTCCCCTCAGGATTCAATTGCACTGAGTAGCAATCTGCTGGTACTCTCAGCTAATGATTATTTATTTCTGACCTGGTGCCTGACCCTGGCACATTCCTGGCCAGAACAGGAAGTTCATACAACAAACAGCATCTCACATGACTTTCAATTTATTTTGGTCTTTTTCCTGCCCTCTGTGAGGGGCTGTAGGCTTAGGTTCTCTTCATCCCCTGTTCTGCCTCCTTACATCCCAGCCCTGTTGGGTGCTGGGCTTTACGTATCAGCTCTGGAGGTGGATCTCTGTGTCTGAATGGGACCTGGCTCCGCCTTGGATCAGGACTGGCACCTGCTATTTGCCACTGTCAGCCTGTGATCAGGAGCATGGGATTTTGAACTTGTCAAAAAGTGCTTCTGTTGCAGTCTGGTTCCCCCAGACAGCTCTGCTGAATGGACAAAAGATGGCTCAGCTGGTGGATTATTTACTTGCTTTACTTTCTCTGGATTTGAACTCTCTGAACAAAATTGGTTTAACAGTTCTCAGACATTTGTGAAGGTGCTTTCCTTCAGCTTCAGTTCTTACTGTGCTTATTTTTCCTTATGGCTGTGTCAAGCAATTTATACATTAACAGCTTCTATCATCAGACAAACACACAACACTAATGAATAATTAGGAGAAAGCTTCAGTTCCAGAACCCCTTTTTATTTCTGCCCTCTATTTGCTGCCAGTAACTCAAGCATGAGAGGTAGACTTTAGGAGGGATTGCAGGATTTGCATTTATATACAAAAATCCTCAATGTTAGGACCTAATCTTCTTAAGTTTTTCCAAAACCTGAGACATCTCAATGGTGCCAATACTCAACTTATGACTAATCTTTAAAGGTGCTTATGTGAACTCTGCAAAAAGTTTCTGAATTCCAAAATCTATTTTGTTGTGCATAGATAAGAGTGCCAATAGGCCAAGGGAAAAATGTTGCAGAAAGAGTGATATGAACTTTAAATAGTGAGTTGACAAGATTGTTCTAGATAATTACTGACAACAAGATTTCCGTAATCTGAGTAGAATAAACACGCATTGTTTAAAGCATCTTGCAGTACTAGTCCTTTATTTTTGCAGAATGCTGCAAAGTACCTTTTATTTGTGCTTCCCAAAATACGTTTCCTGATTTACAAGTATTGTTGCTAGTATGTTTTAAAGTAAACAAGATGCATATTATCTGTGGGATACATAGCTGACTATGGTTACATTGCTCTGTTGTCTTGAATAAACAATCAGTAATATATGAAATTCACGTGTCTTGTTGATAAAACTTTGTAAGAACATGTCTTAACATATTATTAGAAGATTAGAGATGGCAAAGGTCCCTTTGTGGGTCATTTAGCTCATTCATAAAGAGGTTGAATTGTCCTCTGGAGGTTACTACTGCTTTTTCCAGTTCTGGTGCCCCTAGCACAAGAAGGACATGGAGCTGTTGGAGCAGGTCCAGAGGAGGGCCACGAAAATGATCAGAGGACTGGAGCACCTCCCCTATGAGGACAGGCTTAGAGCATTGGGGCTCTTCAGCCTGGAGAAGAGAAGGCTCTGGGGAGGGCATATAGTGGCCTTCCAGTACGTGAAGGAGGCCTATAAGAAAGCTCCAGAGGAACTTTCTATAAGGGCATGTAGTGACAGGATGAGGGGAAATAGCTTTAAGCTGGAAGAGAGTAGATTTAGACTAGATGTCAGGAATAAATTGCGTACTGTGATGGTGGTGAGACACTGGAACAGGTTGTCCAGTGAGGCTGTGGATGCCCCCTCCCTGGGAACATTCAAGGCCAGGCTGGATGGGGCTTTGAGCAACCTGGTCTAGACAGAGGTGTCCCTGCTAATAGCTGAGGGGTTGGAATTAGAGGGTCTTAAAGGTCCCTTCCAACCCAAACCATTCTAGCCTGAAGGAAGCTTTGGGAAGACCTGATAGTGGTCTTTCAATATCTAAAGAGGTGCTATAAGAAGGAAGGGGACACATCTTCGCAGCATCTGTTGTGATAGGACAAGGGGAAATGGTTTCAAACTAAAAGAGGGGAATTTTAGACTGGATATGAGGAAGAAGTTTTTTACAGTAAGTGTGGTGAGGCACTGGAACAGATTGCCCAGAGAAGTGGTGGATGCCCCATCCTTGGAGATACTCAGCATCAGGCTGGACTGGGCTCTGAGTAACTCGGTCTAGCTGTAGGTGTCCCTGTTCATTGCAGGGGAGTTTGACTAGATGGCTTTTAAGGGTCCCTTCTAATGCAAACAATTCTATGATTCCTTTGCTGTGCACTCTCCTTGGACAGGCAGATTTCCAACCTGTTCAGACACTGCATACACTTGAGTAAAAGTTTCACAGATTCTGTTTAAAATGCTCCAGACATTGTTTATTATTATTCTTGCTTACAAATCAATTTTCATTTTTCATAAGAGTTCAAAATGAAAAAGAATCCCAACAATAATTTTTTGTTCCATGTTTCCTTGCCCAGCTAAAATATAATAAATATTTTGCTTAGCACTCTACTTTCAAATTGAATTTTTCTCCATTTTACAAAAAAATCTTATCACAGTGAGTCTTAATGATTTTTCATCTCAAGAAGGAACTAACTCCATTGAAATCTGTTTTTATAACCATTTAACACAATTCCCCTTCCTATGGCAAATTCATAACCTTGGTATATTCAACTAGGGCATTAATGTCCCAGATAATTATATTTATGCTAGGGATATAACTTTATTGATGAGCTTACTGTTTTTCATGTGTGCTTTGTTTCATTTGATAGCTCCCTCTTTGTACATTAGTTAGTACATTCTAGTACATTATAGCTGAAAAGGATGATGAGTGATACATCAACTAAGGAATGGGTCCTGTACTATAAATCTGATCTGGGAGTTTGTTTGTACAGGGCTACATGTGAAAAAGCACATTAACATGCTTTCAAATATGAAGGCATTTGCATGTGTGAATATTACAAACGCGCCTCCCTGAAAATGAGAAGAATACAGCAGACAGCAAAAAAAAAAAATAAAAATCAAGTGCTATTATATTAATGAATTTTTGTTCTTGCCTTCTCCATAGGCAGCTAATACTTTAACAGTTAAATTGATGTGGTTGAGCTTAGCAGTTAGCCAAGCTGTTTTCTTTTCAATAGCAAATCAAGGCCTCAGGATGAACACACTAATGGTGGGAGAGTTCCTAAGGTTTCTAGACAGGGCAGGACAGCTTGTGCAAACACAGCCTCTCTGTATAGCCTGGGAACTACTTGAGATTCCACCCCCCTTTCTATTAGGAGGAAATGACCACTGGCAGGCCACAACAATGCAGATAAACACCAGAGCTGAGGGACTGCGTAACTCAGGTAAACACAGGGCTTCCTGACACGTTGGAAATCACTGAGCATTTCTTTCAAGTCATTCTTCTTACGCAGTGTCAGATGTGAGTGTTTAAACAGTCAGCATTTCCTCAGTGAAATACTTATTCTTTTGAGCAGTTACATTGGGGTAAGTTTCCTACATTTTCAGAAGGAATCCTTTTAATGTAGGCTTCTGAGGACTGGTATGAAAAGCCTAGTTCAAAACTGCACCTGTTTTAGAAAGAAATCTCTGGATGTTTTCCAGCACCAATCTGTATTTTATATACACCTTTCTTAAAATCACCTGGATTTAAAGCCACTCCACGTTAGAAGTGTTTCATGTTTCATTGTGACAGAGAGTCAAATGGTGGTCAAATGCAGAACGAAGGAACAGTATGTCAACCAAGTCCACCTTTAAACTGAGCACTGAGTTTGTGCCTTGGAAATGCGCACACAGCCCCTGATCTCTGAGACTGGGAACTTTGAAAAAAATCAATCTCTCTGCCATCACACTCAACTGAAATTAAAGTGCAGGGTGGTGAGTAAGGCAGGGGTAACATGGCCCTTATGCTTACCTGAAAACATGCTGAAACATGGTAGAAAACACCTGCCTGGAGTAGGGAAGAGCTACTCCATCTATCAGTTTGGACACAAGAAAGAAGGCGAACTTTTTTACACCTGTCTCTCTTCTGTCCACAAGCCCTATGAACAACTTCTGTAACATTTAAACCCTCAAAATAGAGCTTTCTTTTGGCTGCAACTCTCCAAATCACAGGAGAGTGGTATTTATTCCTTGTGTGTGGCAGTAAAATCTGGCACTATCAAGGAAAGTCTGGCAAAAACGTACACAAATACTAGATAAAGCTATTAAAGATATAGTTGAGAATCAGTCTGAAAGTCACTGGTTGTATAACAGGCAGCTAGATGGCCATTAGTCATTCAAATGCAATTGTCACTTGCAATTGATGTTAAGGTAAAGAGCCATATATTTCCATTCCAGTTAAGTCTCTCCATGGTACTGGCATTTGAGAGAACAAACCATGTTTCTGGGATGATCTAGATGTTTTGTAGTATGTGGAATTGATTAAAAAACTGTTATTATACCAAAGAGTAAACTTCAACCATGCCAAGAAACCTCTAACCGTAATACTACCCATTTGTACATCTATTCTTTACATAACAGAAAGTAATTAGCAAGAAGCCCAGAGGCAACCAACAAGTAAAAAAGGTGTTTCTTAATAAAGTATGAACCCAATAGCACAGATTTCAGAAATGTAATTTCTGTCTTTTTTTTTTTTTTTGAAATATGACTCTTCTGATGGCTACGCAATTGCAACTGGTGGGTTTGAGAACACTGACATTGTTTTTTACATTGCCCATTACCAGGTATTTGAGGGCTGGTTATCTGCTGGTTTTCTTTCAAATCTGCTAAGGCTCATTCTATAGCATGCAGCATCATTGGAAAAAATTTCTTGGTTTGGCTAGTTGTCATACCTCATTTTTTTCTTTCAGCTTTGTGATCATAACAATGACAGGGCTGTCTTCTTGCCAAACCATCTGCCAGAAGTCATTCACAGTATTAATCATGGGTCCCTGTGTTGCAATGAATGCCTTCTCTTTACCTCCATATCCCTGGTTTAGAAACAGGCACAAAAACATTTACTTAAAATTCATGTTGTCAGTCAAAGTCACAGGTGAAGATTCTAAGCAGAAAGAGGAATCTGGAATTAAAAAAAAATAAGTTATTTGAGCTGAAAGCAGTTAGAGCAACAGTAGAGCAGATCAGAAATTTTTCAGTAGAACAGTTTTTCCTCTGGGAACTACTGATTCGATGAACTGAAATGATCCTAAGTATATATCAGTCCCTCTGAAATTTCCCTGCTTACTTGACTTCTTCTAGCTTACGCTGTTCTATGAGGTATTGGAGGTTCCTATCATCCAGTGGTACTTCAGTGCATGATTTATACTGCTGCAGTGTTTGCAAGATAGTTTACAGTCAAGATGCCATATTAAAAAAATGAGAAAAATAAAACTCTTTTCTCTGAATCTTCATGACAGGAAAAAAGATTTAAAATGCATGAGTATTTGTAGAGGTAAAGACAGTTCACTGCATCTTTGCTAAGGGAGGAAAATCCTTTATGAGACCTTACAGGAGGGACAGCATCAGTGCAGGGAGTGCTGAGACACACAAAGACAGGCTGGGCAAACAGTGGAGAACCAGAAGGGAGGGAAAGGCAGGAAGAAATAGGAAAAAACCAAGAGACTGCCTTTTTATTTTTCAGGTGAAAAGGAGAACTTGTGAGTTTAGGCAGTGGCAGAATGCCCAACAACAGTGCAGATTAAGAGCAATCTAAAGGGAGTGAATGAATGGAGAACTGCTTGAGGTGGTATAAGGCCCTCTAACCACAAGTATTCCTTTTGGGTGGCTTTCTCCCTGCTCATACCCTTCTGCACTGTTATCCACTGTATGGAACAACAGGATAGATCCTCAACTGGTATAAACAGTTCTCCCTCTACTGACCAATTTGACTGAATGTAGTTTGTCAAAGACAGGTGTGTCAGGACCCCAACCAGACTCGTGATTTCATTTCTTGGGTTGGATTTTTTCTGCAATTGCTCACACTTCAACCAGGGACAGCAGAAGAAATGATGGTATTTTGGCTTTCAGGGTGATGGCACGAAGGACAGGGATATTTCACAGGACTCAAAGCACAGTCTGGCTGATGGATGAGTTGTGCTGTTACCCCTCAGACACAATTGCACTGCTTACTTACAAAGTAATGTCCTTCATACAAAACACTGAAAGGACAAGATGTAAAACGAAGCAGAGTAAGAGGTGTAGTGGATGTGAAAATACATATTCATATACTGTTATTTAATTAAGCAGCATTATTGTTGAGCTCAGAGGCCATAATTTCAGTTGCAGTGATATGTTTAGTCCAGCTGAGGATCTCTAATCAAAATATTTGATTTTCCATGTAATGGACAATAGTCCTGAAACATTACTGAAGTATTTTCTTAGTATTGTCTGCCACATCCACTGTGTCACAAGAAAGTTCTGTGTGTGTGTCATTGAGGTATAGCTATCACTTAGAAATAATACTTTCCAACAATGTTTGTGCTGGTAAAGTACACATCATGCAACCATTCAATACAGGGTATATAATATATATAATATTATATAATAATATATATACAGGTGAATAATGTGCATCTTGCTGCACATATGGATATTTAATACATTTGCTTACGATTATTTTCACAAACTTTTACAATATTTGTTTAATTATCTTGTGATTTCAGGAACATGAATTGCTAGAATATGAAAAAGCCATGATCACTGAACTTGTTTGTAGATAACATGACTGCAATGAGCAATTATATTGATGTTCACTCCGATCTTTTCTTTATCGAAATATTGATACATCCTTCCTGTAAGGCAGTAAGACAACATAAAACAGTAAATATTGAAGTAAACAGGAATAGTAATGCATGTATTTCTTAATATTTTTAAATGTATTTGATAACCTTTTTCTTATTGGAACTATTTTAGCACATTGATGGCCATGTGGTCTTTGGTACAAACAGCTCATGAAACTATTTCTGTCACAGCAATGTAGACAAAAAGATTAGGATTTTTCAATGAAGGTGGATAGGAATAAAGTGAGAGATACCTTGGCAAAAATGGCTATTCAGGTGGAAAATCAAATATTGTCCCAGAAGCACAGGAATAGTGTACATTTACTTACCCTAATGTAGTTAGCATTTATGTAGGTACTCAAGGAGTCAGATGGATTTTTTGGTTTCAAATACACTCTGCTTAGAGGATCTAAGAGCACAAGGAAGATGGAAATTGAAAAGAAAACCCATAATTAGAAGATTTCTATAAAGAATCAAAGACTCGTTGAAGAAAATAATCTATGGTTATTTGGGGTTGTCAAAAGCATTAAGCATTATGTATAAAATTTTTTCCACTGCAAAAGCTAATCACGTGAAACTAAGGACCAGTGCATGTTGCTGAACTGTGTAGAAGCATCTCACCTAGCTGCAGACATCGAAGCAATGCTGTCAGCTCCAGACAATGCTCAAGCACGGTCTAATCTGCCTGTGCTCGGTATCCAGCTGACCTGCCTAGACTATCTCTGAAACTTGCCATTCATCTTCACAGGACACTAGAGAAATATACCAAGTCCTTTGGATTCAGCTTAGATACCTCTGCAGGAAGCTGTACTGTTTCAGTGACTACTTGGATTTAATTTAGAAGAGATTCCTCTGTGTGGAGTGAAATCAGCCACGTGTTTTTACATCGATGTAATGTTCACTAAAAAACCCTTCCCTTCCCTTCAGTCCTGTGCTCTCCTTTGACAGTTTGGGAACGTTTGTATGTAACAGAGTGGAGAAAAAAATATAGGAACATTTTCCTTTATCATCTTCCTTTCATTGTCTTGGATGACCTAGAATGGAATGAGGTGCAATTCTGCTATCTACAGAACTGGGGGTTACTAAATTCCACCTGCAAATGCATTTTTTGTTTGCTCATTTGTGATGGTGTGATTCTCCTTTCAGAATTAAGGCCAGTAAACTTCACAGTCAGAAAGAAAAGGAGGGGAGTGAGATGCCTAAATTGTAGTATAGGGCTACACTTTGGCTTTCTGGCTTTCTTCACATCTTTTCTGAACACATCTTTCTTCACATCTTTTCTGAAAGAATACTTTGCTGTTAATAAAATGATATGGGAATATTTCTCTACTGAAAGATATTCCTCCAGCAGTTTCCTTAATTATTTAAGTAGAATCATCAGCTTTCTATTGATTTGGAAACACAATTTAGACAAATATTCAAAGATTCTTATACGGGTGCTGAACTGGAGGGTGGTAAGAAAACTTCCTGTGCTACAGAAAAACCTGATATTTTCAGGTTTTGAATTTCTTTTGTGACTTTTCAACCTGCTTTTATGAAAAGACAAAGTTTTGCAAATCAAAGGAAGAGAAGGGTGATCCCAAACATACTTATGTCATTTTCTCCCTAGAGGTGAAAGGAACTTCTTGGGAAGGGAGTCAAGCCATTTCAGGACCCAGGCCTGTGTTATGAATGTATATTTCATAAAATGGGCAAATGAATGAATGCCTTTTAATTCAGAGTCTGTGCATGGAAATCTTGTCCTTTGTGTTAAAAGCACAACATGAAGACTGCTTAGCTTTTTTTTTCTCCCTTAACAATATGAAGGCAGGAAATCTCTCATTCCTTTTCAGCACAAAGTGGTTATTAGCCACTTCCACAAGTGCCTCAGGCTACGTGGCCTTGAAAAAACATTCATTTCCTCTAGTTCACACACTGCCTCCAATTCTGATGCAGCTTGACCCCTACCTTAAAAAACCTCTTCCAAGCAGACTCAACATCCAGCTTAACCATACCTTGGGATAAATTCCTCCAGCATTGAGGATCAGCTAAATCAGTTCCAGAATTTATGAGACTCTTTCAATTCCAATCAGATAAGAAAAAGCTGTTTTAGAATAACGATCTTTCATAAATTAAGTCTTGATCACTTCTGAAATAGAAAATTGCTGTACACTTAGCTCAGAAATGAGGAACACCTGAGCACTGCTCAAGATCCAGAGCCACTGCACAGTCGTTGCACACAAATGGAAGCAATTAGCTTACTCCTGAATGACAACTATTTTGGAGGTAATCATCTTTTCCTCAAGGATGGCAAAGTCTGAGAGTCTGAAGCTACAGGAGAAAGACAGACGGTGGCTGCAAGGCTGAATTCATCAACGTGTGTAAAACATCTTGAAATGCAGCAAGGCTGTTAAACACTTGGAACTGCCAATAAAAATGCCATCTACAATAACGACCGAGGCAAAGTTACTGCTGTTTTTTTTCTTCCATGCATCTAGGAAGTCTGGAACAGTTCTCTCATTAAGGCATTGGTTAATACAGAAGAGGCTTCCTTGAACTCCATCTTTAACAAATTAATACTGGTATGAATTTACCAGGCTCGAGGGAGTGAATGATCTGTAGCTTTGCCCCATAAGACTAACCCATACTGGGATCACATCATAGCATGGGTGGCACTGCCAAACAGCTTCCCTTATGCTGTAAACACTGGAGTTTCATCCACAGCATAAACACTGCTTTGTCATGAAGACCCCCAGCTTCATCCCATTGCACAAGCTCTATTCTTTCTTCTTTCATTTAGACTGCTACTATGTGCTAAATTCTTCAGAGCATGGGTATGTTTGTTTTTGTATTTTTTCCAAGATAAGTCACTTGTTTGCCTTAGATCAGTTCTAGTTACCCCAATGATAGTAGGACTGAAAAAGCGTAAGAAGGATTGTCCCTATGGCATTTCTCTTTTTTTGGGCAGGAAAAGAAGCTGAATATGTTTTGGGGCAAACTGCTGTCCCACTTGCAGCTCAAAACATTCATATAGCTCTTAGATATCAGAACATTTTGAAATTCACTTATGTTTTGCTTGGTTTTGTTTGCAGTCTCTAAATCAAATACAAGTACTGATATTCTTTGATAAAGATTGCAACACAGGACATAGGAGAATCCAGACTGTATCCCCAGTCTATGCCATGTGGGGAATAGGCTATTAAACTTGCAAGTATCATAACTACCTCAAAACACTTCATGCACGCAGTACTACACTGAATTTTTTAATTTTGTCTGAATCATGTCCCAGCACTTCCTTTACAGTCCAGGATTTCCCAAATCTAACTGATTTATGATGGTGAGTGCTTCTGCATTTTAAAACTTGCTTCAGCATTAGAAAATAATGATGCAATTGATGCATTTCATTGATGCAAAGGAAATTTTTCTTAACTTCTAAAAATAAGCTTTGCCTAATACCCACTTGTGTTATTAACTATGCAACCTAACATTAATTAATCAATTATAACACTGGCTATTGACAAATATAGAAGTTATAATAGTGGTGACTACAACTAGGACACATTCCGTCAAATCACATAAAAATACAGAAATTCTTTGATGAATACACGTTGAATTTGCCTAAGAACAATTTTTTTTTTTTAATTTTGCTGTGCAAATATGATTTTTATCTTCCGTCTCTGAGAGCCTGTTGGGAATCCTATTGCCTTCACTAGGGAGCAGGACTGGAGCAAATAAGACACCAGGGAGCTCAAAAATTCTCAACATCAAGAGAATGGTTTCCCAGCACCTGTCTATAAGCTTGTGTAAAACACTGCCTCGTTCATGTGATTTAGATTTAAGTTTCTCTTTGTTTTTAAATGGAGTATCGCAGCCAGTTTTAGCACAAACAACTCAGGAACAGCATGTGTATTTGTGGACCTGACCCACCAGGTGCTTTGCATCTTCATGTTAATGTCAGTCTGCTCTTCTGCAGTGGCTGCTTTTTAGGAAAAAATAAGGAGTGATATCCAGGTATCTTGGATGTATGTCACACACAGATACCTACTAAACAGTGTTAAGCCTCTGTGAGCAAAATCCCACACCTGCTCTGAATCCCACACCACAGCAATTCTCCTTCTAGTTTGAGATGGAGAAGTGGAGTAGGAAGGGGAAGAAACACAGGTGTTTGAAGCTGATTGCATGCTGTGAGGACATGTGTTAGGGGCTGCAGGAGACAGCTGGTGAAGGTGTGAAATAAGATGGTGAAGAGGGAGCATCAGAGCTGGTTTTCTACTACACGAATGTAACTGTGATAGAGCCTGGGGTAGGGCCAGTAACAGAGGAGGCCAGAATGGCAGGGGAATGCAGTCAAAGATATGGAGAGGACTTTCACAGGACTAGTGCGTGGTATCTCAGTCAGTGAGAGGGATAAAGAATTGGTGACCTCAGAGAGCAGTCTAGCCACTTGCCTTGTCCCCTCACTGGGTGTATTAGCACATTATTATAAAGCAAATAACACTCAAAAATTACAGAGAAATCCTAGCATTTGTATATGAATGTTGGCTATACTACCCTGCAAACAAAACATCTTTCATAGAAATGCAACGTTTCCTGCACTTTGGAGTTCTCCGTATATAACTGATGTCAGCAGGCAGACATTTTACTCGTGCTGGTGCCTGCCTGGGTAGTATCTGCTAACACCAACCTGCCCCCATGCTCCCTGTGACAGAATTATCTGTGCTGGAGTTATCTCTTAGAAAATGAGAACATCCCAGTGCAGAGGGTGGAGCAAGCAGGGTGGGGCCTTTTTAGAGATAATCCATCAATTCCAACATCACTCATTACTGCAGGTGACACACCAGTACTGGGAATGGAAAAGCTGACATGGGTGCACTAAGCAGTAGGGTGATATCATCTGAGCAGGAAACCAGAAGGACCACTCTATTTAATGATGCTGATTGTTTCCAAGCCCTTTTGGACTGGATGTGGGTGTGAGAGTATTTATTATGAGCATGTGCCTTGATCCTCAAAATATCTCCTTTGAACAAGCTCGGTGCTAACACACACCAGACTCTTTGATTTCTATCAAGGAGGGTTACAAAGCGCCTGTCAAAGAGTAGCTGTGATGTGCATCGGCAGTGAGATTTGACTGAAAATGTGCCTTGGAGGCAGCTGTGCACCCTGACTGGCTGGAAGTGAGAACATGAAGGCATTCTGACTCTCAAAACTCATAAGCATCAACAAAGGCCCAGCTGTCATGACCCAATTCAAAACACGTGTTGCAGTGAAGCAGGCCTTCCTGCACTCACGAGCTGCTCCTGAAGATGAACCTGATGCTACAGGCACTGTAGGAAGGGAGATATCCTTCTAGAAATGTTGCTCATCAGGCAAAGGCAGGCTTGGATGATAACCTGGCTCTATCGCAGTCGATGGCAAGCTCCTGTTTTCACAGGGGTCAGGATTTTGGCCTCTGTGCATACCCTGTTGACGCTGAGCCAAACTGTTGGGGCTACTTAGTTTTCTGATTCCTTGGTAATTGATAACTTGCATTCAATTGCTTTCACCTATTTAATTCCCTTCAACATTCTTCTGTTTTACTCAGCTGCATATAGCTATTTGTTGATATAGATGAACTGACCCTAAAGTCAGTGGAAATTTTGCTGGTGGCTGAAAGGAAACAAGGACTCAACACAATGCATTTTTTCCCCAATTCTGTATCACATTTCTGAGGCTAATCTAGCAGCTGAAGGCCATTATTTCTCATTCATTTGACTGCAAGGTCTTTGGATGGTGTGATCAAATTACAGTGCATTCAGGCTCACTGGGAGAAATCTTGTCATTCAAAGTGTGAATTTGCATGACTGACATGTAACATAGTCACACAGGGACATTATAGAAATGTCTACTAAATGTCTACTAAATGTCTACTAAATGTCTACTAAATGTCTACTAAATGTCTACTAGAAAGCAGTTTCCTGGTTGATAGGACATGCTGTAATTTAAAAAAGTATTCTTCATTCCAAATGCTAGCAAAATTGTGTTTATATTTCACTGCGGGACAGTTCCTCAAAATTTAGAATCACTGAAGTTTTCAGCTTTGAACACTATCAAAAGATTAATAAAAAAATTGGAATATCTCAGCATCCCTGTATTCTGTATTTTGAAGGAAAACTATTCCACTGAAAAGTTTTCAATCACCTGTAATTATAACAAACCAATTGTTACTATGACAGAAATAAATAATTTGGGCTGATGAGAATACAGAAGCAGTATAGCAAAGCAGTAGCAAGTTTACAGCAACAATGAAGAAGCACTGTGTTCTTACTAATGTAAATGTATTTCCACAAAGCCATGCAGTGCATGGAGAAGAAAAATAACTAAAACAAAACGAAGTGGACTTAGAAAGATGGAAGTCCATTATGAGAAAGGATAGGATGCAATTTCTCTTTTAGTCTGGGCAACTTAATGTCAAACACAGTATTTGCTAGTTTGACCCAGCTAGAGAGAAGTCAGTGAGGGGCTGCGCTCTGCTCAATGTTGTGGGCTTTGATACAGGCAACAGCCTTGGTCCTCTCACTCTCCAGATCAGGGGAGCTACTGTGAGGCATGGCATATCCATCTCAACCTGTTTGCCTGAGCTGTCCTCTAGAGAAAAATCAGCACCTAGGGTGCATTTCAGCATGTGGTTGGGATGCAGCCAAAGTGTGCATCTAATGACTAAGGTATCCGGGCAGAGTCCTGCACCGGTCAGTCCCCCAGAACTGGATTTTTGCTTCCTTTCTGCATAGACTAAAAAGACACTTATGAATAGATACACAACAATCAAAGATAAAGACAACTAACTGTTCATGGCAATACGTTCTCAAAGCAGACTAAATTTCATAGTAGGGCTAACTCACTTACTTGGCAAAATTGTTTTATAGCGGTTTTTAGTTCCATGACTCGGGATGTCAATTTCTTTAGGATCCACAAAATTCATTGGTATTTCCTATAAAAAATAAATTAAATCAGATTGGTGTTTCCAAAGGAACTGTACAGGAAATTATCCCCAGAAGGCCATCTGCTGTTACACAACTGTCTTTTGACATCAAAGTTATTAAGAAAAAAGTGGTTCCCACCTCAAGTCTGTCAACACCCTTCCTTTAATAAACACAGGAGTTGCATACTGAAGGGGTGACTTCCAAGGAACACTTCTGATGAATTATTAAAGGCAAGGTTTTTAGAAGATTAGGAGATATGTTAGAAAACACAATAGTACTAGAAAAGCGGAGTTGAAAAGTGCAGTATCATAGCAGGAAAGAACAGCATTTTGCATGAATGGACTGAGAGCTTTCAAGATAATTAAATAATATATGACTATATATATTTAAATTTTGTGCAAAGCCCTTAACAACGTCAGTTAAAGATCCCACTTGCTTTTTATAGCAATGATTAGGCCTCTGCATGCAATAACTCGGAAGTGTAAAAAAAAACAAACACTATTTGACTTGATTCTCATTTTGAATTTTTAGCCTCTGAATCACATTACCTCCCTTAAATCTGAAATTGTGAAAATAACTGATGTGACAATTTGACTTGAACAGCTTACAGTTACTTTTTTTCAGAATGAAAAGTAAAAATACTCTTAATTTACAGTGAAGAAAATGCTTCACTTGGTCTAAGGGGGGACGAGTCATTTTGATTCTGAGGTCTCAAAATACCATTGGTGTTCTTATGGTTGAATGAAAAAAAAAACCATCAAACTTTGGAAATGGCAAAATGAAGGAGTTGTTTTTTTCCCCCTCAATGATTGACATTTACCAGCCAAAACATGAAAGATGTTTCAGTTGACTCAAATCTTCATTTTTCCCTAATTAATTTTATTTTTGGCAAGAGCTGTTTAAATTACCTTAGTGTAAGATGGAACATGATCTTTGTTAAATTAATACTTCTACTTAGGAGTAATTTCTGGAGATTTCAGAACTCTGTTACTAGCCTGGGATATTCATCCAAAGAGACAGTGGCATATTATATAATTGCCTCTTGCAGAGGCATAGGAACTTGAGGAGGCATGAAAGGTATGTTCTTACCCTGTACAGCGTGGACTTCTTTTGACTTGCACCACTGGAAAATTTACATAAGTATTTTCCTCCAAAAAAATCAGCCAGTTTCTAAATCCAGAGACCAAGGCCTGACCAGGACTTCAGCAAAGATCAAATGCACGGCCACCATCCTTCAGACACATTGCTCCTGTGTGCTTTTGTGAGACAAACAGGGACATGGCTCTGTGCCTTTTTAGATCTCTTCCTTGCTCTTCAACTGAGCCCTCAACAGAATGAGTCTCTGCCTCTCTTTTCAGGCTAGTAAAAACCATGCTGCTAAAATACATTTTTCTTGCAGATTCAATTCCATTTCCCTGCACTGCCATCCATGTGATGCCTGTGCTAAGGGTAGGATCTTAGTTGTAAAGCTCCACTCCTACATAAATCTCATCTAATTCCTCCAAGTCAAACCATCTCTTCTCTGTCCTACTTCTGATGCCCCTTCCTCCATACTCACTCCCTTTCCCCTTTTGTATCCATCTCTACCCTCTTCCCAGTGGTCACTTTATGAGGATCTCCCCCTTGGCCTTTGAAGGGTGCTAACTAGTATGGGTTGTGAGTACCTTGCACTCAGCTACTGGCTGAGACTCACTGATCCAGTGAACTCAGTATTAACATCACTGGTGCTCTGCTTCTGAAAGATTTTGTTGCTGAACAGAACAACAAGAGAGGGCAATACATTAAGCTTCTGTCTAACAGAATCTATGCTGGTCATCTGAAGAATCTGGAAAAAGATGTGAGGAAGGGTCCTCTGCCTGCACAAGTGATTGTTGTCAGTGGGGCTTTTCAGTCACCTGGCTTCTCCTTGTTGATGCCTCTTGAAATTTTAAAATAGTTCATTAGTTGGCCAGTTACTGACAGATGGAGAAATGCTACCAAGCTGAAAACAGGAATGTATTTCTTTGGGCCAACAATGTCAATTAATAATATTAATTACTTACATCCTGTAAACACTCTGTAGTCAGTGGGCTCCTCCCAGTATTAAGTACTTGTGAGGCCAAGGGCACAGACAGAAATCTGCCAGTATACCATGGATCTCAGTCACAGACAGGTCACTTATTGTGAGGCTGGCTATGAAATGCAAGAGAGGATTCCAGAACAAAATTCAGGATTTGATGAGGATATCATCCTGCTAGTGGGGGGGATAGATAAACCCAGCTGATTGCAAAATGCATGAACAGATGCAAATAAGCACACAAAATCTGTAGGTAACTAGACAATGCACATCAAGCTGTTTTACATATATGTATGACATATTTAAATAGAAATTTATAAGCTGCAGGCAGTTGCACTCATGTAATTATAAATGCATATGCACATAGGCTTTTGTTCTTGGGCTGCTTCACCTATCTGGGTGATACTGTTCTAATAACAGGTATTTTGGTTCATGTTTGGCTTTTGAAATGCTATATCTACTCATGCACGTAAACAGATAAGACTTGGGTCTCTGAGAGCATTCTAGAAAATTTGGCAAAATTTAGGAAAATGTAGGCAATCTAGTTCAGCATTTGCTATATTCATGTCTCCTTTTTGATGAGAGCCAAGTTTTACAGATCTAACTGTCTCACACTTTCCCATACAAAATTGCGTTTTCTGAAATTCCAGTGTTTCAACAACTGGTGTTCCATCACCAAGTTCTGAAGTTCTTGTAAGTAGTAGTAAGCTACTAAGCAAATATTGCTGAGTAATTTATATTTCTTCTTCATTGCAAATCAGGTATTTCAAGTAAAAATATCCAAACTTTCTGCTAACAAACAAAAAAAACCACCACCACCACCAACAACAACAAGAAAACAGAAGAAGAAAATACCACTTCTGTTTTAATAAATATTTTGGAAAAATATTTTGAACGTTTGACACCGATAATTAAAAAGTAGAACTAGTCCCCCTCTATAATGCTAATTAAAATAATTCTTTAAACCAAATGTAACTCAAAAGAGATCATCTTTCAGTTTTCCATTGAAAACTTTGAACATCATTTCTCAATTTTCAGCATAGTTGGACAGTTTTCACGGGAAATAGTAATTTTAGTCTCAAAAAGACTTTCTTGTTGTATTTTCTTAGTTAAAACAAACCGACTGAGCAGAATGAGTGAGGGTTAAATATCGTGTTCTTTACATTCTTAATGTTTCTACTAAAGCTATTATCTGTAGCAAGGAAGAAAGACATTAGACAGAAAGTCCAGCAGCCTCATCTTAAAAAACATTTTAAAAAAATTTAAAACTGCAACAGAAAAATCATGATTTTCAATATAATTCTCTGGAAATATGGAATGGCCAAAGTTGTATTGTGTCCTACTGAAAGAAGAATAAAATGAGTATCTGTTGATCCAAAACCAAGCAGGGATGATGTGTGAGAGGATCTGGGTACATGAGATTCTATGAATTAGGCCAGCTTGTTAGGATATAGTTCATAGAGACACGGGAACTTAAAACATGAAAAAAATTGTTTCTCCAAACCTTCCAGCCTAAGCCACAGAATGACAGAAAATGGACAATATAAATGGTGGTAAAAGAATGTTGGATGCTTAGAATTTTTTCCACGTGCAGTCTAACCAGTTGCTAGTAAAACAACTAAGTAATTTATTTTTCCAAAGCAAATGACTTTCACACTAAACCTTGTCTCTTTAAAAGAGAAAAAAATAACTGGACTGTTTCATAGGGATGCAATTATTCATATTGAGAACTAGTCTTAGAATAAGATGAAACTCATCATCTATTCCACTGACTCACTTTCTCAAAGAAAATAGAACTCCAAGGAATCACATCCTCAGACCTATTAAATAAGAATTGAAGGCTTCTATGTCTTTGTTAGATGTGTGAATATTTTGTCTGTTTGCTTGCTAATGAATTATAAAAACTGAAAACTTTAGGCTAAGGTTGAGTTGAGTAGTTGGGTGCGTTAGGTGTAATGCAATGGAAAGTGCAGCAATGATAGCATAGGAGCAAAGTCCTAGGCTGCAGCAAGTAAAGGTTTACTCAATTGCAACAGCCATGGGCAGAGAAATAGAGCAAAGAAGCTGCTCACCTTTGGAAGGCCTCAGGTACACAGAGATCTCCAACAATATACTCTTGCCTCCACTGTCAACCCTTAAATGAGGTCTGGGAAGGGGCAGATCCTGGCTCCACCCTTTCCAGTCACTCAGGTGCACTGTCCCTGGTTTAGCCCTGCCTTCCTACCAGGTGCTCAGTCACTGGTCCAAGCCATGACTTAGCATTTCCACTACAGTTTGATTTGGCAGATCTTGCACCCTCTGATAGCAAGCTTTCTGAGAGAACTGTAACAATGGTGTGAGCCTTTCTTTGTTTTGAACTGGCCACCCCAGAGTGTTCTTTTGGCAAAAAACACAACGAATATTCATCCATGTTTACTTTCTCAATATTGATGGTTTTATAGGCTTCCATTAGAACTGCTTTCCTAGTTAGGAGTCCTTGACTGAGTCTATTTAATATCTCTTGATACAGAAGCTGCTGTAGCCTGGGATGATATTTGCCATACTTGTTCATGTGCTTTGGGATGGAGTAATCAGAACAGCTTGCATTTGTGACTGTTACAATTTTTCCACCATTGTAAAGATGTTTTCTATTTTATTCTTTACTTCCTTTATCACGAGTTAGCCTTGTATTTCAGAACCCACTGAAGTATGGAGAACTATTTCCTCCTGAATGCATAATATTTTATTTATCAACCCTGAATTTCATCTACTTTGCCACACTCATTTAATCCTTCTGGAACTTCTTTGAAGTCAATTTCTGATTTTACTACCATTCATAATAAAATATCATCATCAAACTTTATCACCTTACTATTTAACCCTTTTCCAGATGGCTTTTGAGCATCTTGGTCAGTTTCAGCTCCAAAGTAGATATCTCTGAGATTCCGGTGATGACCTTCTTTTACTCTAAGAAGCATCTATATCTCCTACAAATCCTTCCTATGTTGCAAACACTGTGTTGATTCTTCCCCACTGTACTGCATTTGCTCGTATATCCATTGGCATCTTTCTCTATCATAATTTTTTGCTATTTCTCTGACACATACATCAGATTTACAGATCTATAGCTATTTGGATCTCTTCTGGAGCCCTTCTGAAAAAGGACTTGTTACTTTTGTTTTTTTGTCTCCTCGGATACTGGGACCCAAGTGCTATCTATACCTGCCCTATTAATACATCAGTAATTGCATATATGAAATCATCCAGGGCTCCTGGGTGAATACCAGCTTATTCCAGTGATTATCTTTTATTCACTTTATTGATCTGTTCTGTTCCATTAACAATTCAATATCAGCCAGACCCTTTTGTGATGTATTTTAATCTACTTTTGCCACACAAGTATGAAATTCCACACATTCTTATATGGTTGACCACAGATGTAAATGACATAAACACTCTTCTCCTATTGCCTCACCTTCTCCAAGTCTCTTTTTTATTCCTTTGATCTCCTATTGATCCTTGTACTCTCCATTTAATTTTGTGCTTTTGATCTATTTAAAAATAAAGCTTTTAGGTTTTCTGTAAATTCAAAACTTTTTTTTGACCTGCCTTATTTAGCTTTCACATTTCAGCTGGCTTCTGTTTACACTTAGTTCTATTTCCTTTGTAAACATTATCTTCTTATATCTGATAAACTTTTTTATCTGTCTCTTTTGCACTACTGGTCTTTTTCAAGTAATGTTAATAACATGTTTTCCATGAGTCAGTTTTCCTGCTGTGATTTGTTTCATCCTGGTCACTGTCTTTGTTGCACATTCCTACCTTTTAAAATATATTAAATATTAAAATATATTAAATATAAGGGTCTTTTCTGGTTGGTTTTTTTTTTTTTTTTTTGGTCTTGACTATATTAGGCCCATAGTATGGAGTATTTGTCATTGGCATGTTAGTCTGACTCAGGAGGTGCTTCTCTTTTTGTGGTGTCTGCGTCTGCTCTAAAAATGTCATCTGCAGTAACTAAAAGTTTAGTCTTTGAATTATAAACATTACTAACACAGGTAATGTTTACATGGGGATGAACAAATTCTCCAATTATTCCTGTGTTTTCTGTCATCACATCCTTATGATCGCTCTGAAACTGTCACAATGTTACTGCTGGATGTTAGTAGGGCAGCTCTAATGCAACTTTCATCCCACCCATGAACAGAACAGGAATCTGTGTTATCTATGGCTATAGATAACACTTATCTACAGGTTATTTATTTATTACAGTTGAGTTCAGATTTCTAAACGTAAAACAGCACCTTGGAACAATCTAATCCTCCCTTCAGAAATGATTTGCACCTTGATATTAAAATGTTGCCCAATTACTCTTTTTCTACAGTTTCTGTTGTGCCCATTATCACAAAATCCTCATGTAAAGCTTGTTGTTAAACTCACCATGAATTCTGTTTGAAGTAAATGAGAACACGCAACTGCATCTCGAAGCTGCTGCCTTGTGAGGATGCGACCAGCTGACTGCAGGTATTCCATGGCCACTTTTTCTCGTGGAGTCGGCACAGCAACGAAAGGCTCAATACTTCCCAAACTACTCATATCCAAAGTTAGAGAGACATTGGATCCTCGCCTGCATTAGAAAATAATTAAAAGTTATTTTAAAATTAAAATGTACTGTAAATCCCATACTCATGCACCTGTCGCTGACTGTGTAGTCTGTGTAGTCACTGGGATATTTGGATGTATGAAAAGATTGGTTTCACTGGAACACTGGGTGGCCAGAAAATCAAGATTTTACAGATCATCCTACATCTTGAATCCAACAACTGACTCTTCAAAAACAGTCTGCTATGGAGGAACTTCAGATTGTTCTTAAAAGTAGAAAATGCTTCTGGTATGCTACTTAATCTTTCTGTATGCCAAATATGCAAGTGGTATGTTAGTAAGAAAGAAATGTTTCACAGAAAGAAAAGGGAATGTATTGTAGCATATATATATAACAACCTGGAAATAAATTCATAGATGCCAGCTGCATCTTTAAGTATCTGCTCAAATTAAATATAAAACATGGAGAGGGAAAATGATAAAATCAGAAGAATAAGTGGAGAGGAGGTTTCAACATCATGGACACCAACTTAGTGGACAGTGTCATGGGTGAGGTAAGTGACAAGTGAGAGGCAAAAACAGCATTGAACTACAGGAGAAGGAATGGTCACAAACTTAGAGCAATCATTCAGAAAAAATATGGGAAAGTATCTTTGAGCTGTGGAAATACAAATAAAGTACATTTCTGTGTTTGGTATGAATGCTTACCTTCTTGTTGCTTTCTCCAAATCACATGTAAAGAAACACTTTTCCTAGTTTCAACTCGTTAGTCAAATGTTACTTACTCAGCCCTTAATTTGAGGCATTTTGTGGTGATAAATCCATGCTCTTTAATTGTGATGACTAAATGCACATCTGTAGGCCTTAATCAGAATTACTGTATTTACTCATCAGAAATTGGTACTGTGAAGGCTTTGAGTTAGCCAGCTATCTCTGAATTGGGCTACAGATACCCTGCTCACTGTAAACATGTCTCTAACATCAAGCAGCAATGTGAACACAGAGATGTGACAACACAAGTTTTATCCCCTTGACTGTAATGCGTATTGGCATATATTATTATAAATACCATACAAGCATAATCAGTGAGGCAACTGTTATCAGCACTTGGGGGAATGCTTTCCCTTAGTGTGCAGCAAAAGTTGTGCTCACTGCCTGTTACTCTCCTCTCGTTATCCATGAGTGGCCTGAAGATACTTAAATGTACACATATTTGAGTAAATTATTTGTTCTTTTCTGATGTTGTGACTGAACTTCATGATGTGTTGCAGTTCTGTTTTCAAATCTTTTTTCTGTGACCAGAATAAGTGTACTCTGAGGGTTTATTGCTTTCTTCTCTGGTTGTAACCATGCTAATAGAACACTTCGTTTAGTTCTGACACAGCTTCGATGCACTTCTCTCTTTGTTACGCATGTCAACAGATCCCTTAGTAACTCTGTTTTAAATTAAACCATTCCTATCATGTCATTCTGCATGAATAGAAATGATTTCAGCCACCCACCTGACACTTAGCAAAACACAAAACTACAGTTGCCAGGAAAAGAGACCACCTGATGGAACCAGTGAATCTCAGATAGTGCCATAGTGTCCATGAGCCTATTTCACATAAATGATGAGTGGGTGACAGCAAGAAATGCGCTGTCCAAGCACGCAGATGGTTACGGTGAGACAACAACAGAAGCTGTGGTGGGAGAGAGGCAAAATGGAGCAGAAGTGGTTGCAGACAGCTGGCCGCCTCCTGGGTTATAGACAGGGACAATTTTTATTGTCAGAGGGAAGATGGAGGGGTAGGATTCTACTAATTCACCTAAGTGGAATGCAGGGCTGAAGGAGCATATTGAGCAGAAATTATGAGCAGCTGTTATATGATGTGTGATCTTACTCTATCACACAGAGGTCCCACGTGGTGGCTGCTCTCTGCAGGCTAGTCCTGGCTCATGTACCTGAGCCACTTCCTGAGGGACCATTCCTGTCTGTAGGGTAGCCAGTCCTTCAGACACTCGTCAAGGAAAACATCCTGTTAGACTTCTTTCTCATAAAAACCATCCTGCTTAAGCATCTCTTCTGACCATGACTAGCAATTTATTCCACAGGAAAGGGCTGTCCCTCAAACAGGTGTTTTTGAGGGTTTCTATCACAGAACAGATCTTTTGAAAATGAGCCAGAAAACTATAGAAAAGGTGTGAAATGAACCGCTCCCAAAATGTTCAGACTATCTTTGGTTCAGAAATGGGGAGCAATTGAGATCCAGCCATACTTCTGGAAGAGTCTACTGAGATTTCCCAATATAGAGGAAAAGTATTTTCATTGTTTAGCAACAAAGTACAGTGAAAATGTTAATATTTTCTTTGGCTTTTACATTGTTATAACTGACAGTCTTGGCAAAAAGGCTATTTCCTTTCTAACAACAACAGAAAATATACCTGGTCTAATTATAACTTTGAGTTTATAACTTTTACCATTTATGGGGATTATTGATGAATACCAGTGTTGAGAGTCAAATAACTTAGTCTGGAAAGAAAAAGTAGTTTTAGCTACATATTTAACACATTGAAATCTATATACAGAATAAATACTGAGCAGAGGACAGAAAATAACTACCTAAAGGACTGCAACCTTGTTAGAAATTCTATTTGAAGGCATGGGATGGATAATAGCTGTGAAGGTAATTCTTCCACAAAAATGGGCAACTCAACACTTTCAAGAAGAATGCCTAAGTTAATAAAAAGCTTTTAAGAATGTTTATACTAGCTAACTATTGCCAAGATTAATATTAATCATATTGACTGCTGAATTCTAGACTATACTAAGGGACAGAGCTGAAAACAGGACATGATGCTGAAAGACCTGGGAGGGCATTAACTCAACATATTCTTTATGTTCTAGAGTAAGATGCTTGTAGTCACAGATTCTGCTCTGGTTTCTTGGATTCTCTCTGTTCTTCTCATAGTTAAACCATTCACTTTCTGGAAAGAAGAGTAGAAAGCATGTTAAGCAGTGTGCCTTCCTTTTCTTGTGCTATTGGAGAGAATGGACAATAGATCAATGGGACCACTGACACTGCTAGTCAGACAACTAATTTTTTTTTGATCCCTCTAAACACCCTGACTACATCCTTCCCTTGCAAATTACAGTGAAGAAATCATATGCTTATTTTTTCCCCTTATTTCCGAATATTTTTAATTCTACGTCGCAATCCTCTATAAATAGCTTTATTTTCTGTGCCCGGTGTTAATAGCCCAGGCCAATTAGAGAAAATTGATTTGTTCCTTTGTGAGCAGAGTCCCCTGCTCTGGAACACCTCAGGTTCTGTCTTGGCGGTGATGTGCATCATGTAAGGAATCTGTAAACGTTCGTGACAACATCTCATTAAAGTTGGCTTGAGACTAACTCTTCCGACACTTTGTCAGCTGGGACAGCCACATCATTACTGGGTATGTGAATAAGTGCAATCAGGAAACCACTTGTGTCTGTGTATTGTCTAGTACCTCAGAGGGGGGCCTACTACATACTCATGGCCCTCTTTTCAATAGGGCAATAGGAACAAGCCCACTGATGAGAATCCACTGGAGGACTTTTAATGGTACATTTATTGATGCAGACTTTACTAGGAGTCAAGGTAAAAAATAAAATAATGCAATGTTTGTTTTGTTTGTTTCAAAACTCTCAAAAGGAAGCTCCACCTGTCCACCTCACGGGACTGCCAGGTTACTAAAGCCTATTAATCATTAGCAAGGTCATTTCCAGGTCTTCCATGACCCTAAAATTAAGCCATGGTTGGTGATTATGACAATCCAATTACCCGACGCAATTTTTCCCAGTTGATTATTTAAGCTGGACGACTTCTTTAAATACACCTTTTCATGTTTATTCAGCACTCTCAAAAAGCACAACGCCCAGATTCCCAGTCCCTAGCGGGCCCTGGTGCCTCCCGGTGCTGGGGTGAGTGGCAGGGCCGCAGCCCATCAGCAGCCATTGCCCTTCGACCCCGCCATTGCTGGCACAGGAGGTGCTTCCGCTCCGCATGCCCTCCTTGCCCCGCTGCTGCGCCCCTGAGGCCGAAGGCAGGCCTATGTCAGCCCTGGGTGGAAGGAAGCCATTAACGAGTGGGAAGAGTAGTGCTGGCTGTGGCTGCTGGGGAGGGAGCTGCTTCATGCCCAGAGATCCTCTGTGCGCAGGGATGCTCAGCAGAGCTTCTCTTTCTGTTTTATGGCAGAGAAACCACCACTGTTCCCCCACAAGTTTGATTTCTGTGGTATTCCTCTGGTCTATACGTGGGTCCTGGTGCTCAGATCTTGTGAGGGTACCCAGTGAGCATTCAGGCGGGCTGTAATTGCACTGAAGAATCCCAATTAGGCACATGGTTTCCACCACTTACTGCCTTACCGATGACTTTTTGAGTGCCAAAATTGTCTTGCTTGTCTAGTTTCATGTTTCAGTAGAATAATTCATAGAAAAACAAATTTAAATTCACAAAATTAGGCAACTGAAAAACTATAGGACCCAGCTTTCCTGCTGATCTTCAAAATTGCTAAGAGAAAAGGGTCATGCAGATGAACAAATGGATAAATGAGGCTGTTGTGGGGTGGTGGAGATGTGAAAAACTCAGCAAATCAGAAAAGTACATAATGTTGTTCTTGTTAGTAATCCTGTATTTTGAGATAAAATAAATAAAAAGAAAGTACTGAATAACTCCCATTGATTTCATCAAGAAAAATTAGATCCTCAGTTAAAAAAAACAAAAAAAAGTAGAAGAGAGGAAATACGTGGGGTTAAGAAATCTTTGAAAAGGACCGAATATACTGTCATTTCCTATTAGCCTTAGGCAAATAGTAACATAGACCTTCTAACATAAAACTGAGACATTTCTTTGGAAATCCAGATATACAATATCCATTGTAGTCAGTTGTCAGAAGACCAAATGATGACTCTCATTTGAAGCAAAATATAATTGGATAAATGTTAAAGTAATATTCGCAGTGCTGTTAAATAATTACATCTAATAAGCATAAGAATAGTTTATG